AGTACAATAGACCAAACACACTAGATTAATTTTTAACATTCAGATTTTTAAAAATTGTTTTATGTTTAAGCAAAGCTATCATTTTAAAAATAGAAGACTAGAAGAGTAGAATTAGTACGTTAATGTTTAACAATGGGTTATAATCATAAACTTACTTGGTTTAACACAAAAGCAGTTTTGCATATGAAAATTTCCAAGACACCAGTAAGATCTAGGATGTATCAGAATGCAGATTTTTATATTTGCACCTAATTTATATATCACCATTTAAAAGAATTTTGATTCTCAAATTGATTTTTTGGAAGAAGTCCAGGCACAATTTTTAAAAAGATCTCTGTGTTAAAAAAAAAATCCTTGCTTCAGCCTTTGAATATTTGAAAAATTACATATATGGTTGGAGGGAAGAATTACATAATTTATGCCAATGCCATGAACAAGTCCCTCATGTTTTCACATAACTTTAGCTGTATTTACGCTGTTGCCTATGAAAGATAACTTTACAAAATAAAATTTATGTGACAACAAAAACAAAGTTCCTAATGTCTAACATTAGTCCCTGTGAGGTGTATCTTTGACATGAGGTTTTTTTTTTCCTCTCAGATATGTTAACCCCTAAAATTATTAGGAAGAAAAAAATCTAATTGAATATTTTCATTATTTTTCAGTAAAAATACCTCTACAAAAACCAGTCATCCAATTTTAAAAAGAATATAACTTTAAGAAAAAATATGTCTGCTAGTGTCATTTTATTCTCCTTTTCAGTAAGTACAGAAAAATTGTATCTGTATGTATACTCACAATTACAAAGAAAACCTCATCTGTGAAAATTCTGACACTATAGGGCTACACTGTTAGCATGTTCTCAGTATTGGGTTTATACATGAAATTTATCTAGAGCCAGGACTCATAAAAACTTCAGCAACTGAGTGAAACTTCCTCCAATCAAATTTAAAAAATTTTTCCTTCAAGGATAAACACCATAAATATAAAATGCTCATATATTTATGGTTGTATATTTTGGTTTATATTATTTCAAAGTATGCAAAACTCTTTTGTGTCATTTACTGTTAGACACTCGCTTAGGAAATGTGAAACCTTCACCCAATCACAAACCATATACACTGCTCCATTGTGTCTTTTACACTGAGTCTCCTACTGAGTCCAAATCATCCGAGGAGAGGGGGCGGTACAGGTCCTGTAAGATGAAGGGCAGGGACATATTCGTTTATTTGCTTTCGTGGGTGCCCTGTTGCTCTCTTAGGAGCAACTCTGAATGGTATCCTTGGTTCCTAGTATTATTAGACCTTTAAAGTCACCAATTTTGGATATGAGGAAAGAAAACAATAAAGAAACCATCTACACAGACAAAATGATGCTGATTTCACCTTAACAGCAAGAAAAATGCTGCCTAATTATTTGTGAACTTTTGTCTTCCTTCATATCCAGCTAAGTCACGGCCTCTGAGGTCTTCCAAGGCTAACTCTGCTATACTGCATCTAGAAAATCCTTCCATGAACACTTCCTTCCCATTATGTGTAGAAAAGGAATGTGCTCAGCTTGCACACACACACACAAATTTATCAGGTGTCTCAGTAGGCATTCAGCATATTCTGGTTCCAGGGCAGCAACTTAAGTGCTGCGTTTGCATACAGGATAAACCCACCAAATTTCCCACGCCCTCCCTCCCAATGCTCCTTCCCTGTCCCCAGCCACTTGCACACCGCATCCCCTTGTCTTCCCTCCTGGGCCTTTCTGCTACTAGATCTCTCTGTTGGTAGCCAAGCAACCAGCTCAGATCTGCGAAGTATCTACAGCTGGCTTTTTTTCAATTTTCTCCCTCCCACTCCTCACATCATCTGATCAGATAATCTACCGAAGTCAGCGATGTGGGAGTATAACAAGGAGCTTCATTTAACCTACACAACACATTTCTTCCTGATGTCTTGAGAAATGGAACCAAAAAAAGTTTATGGGCAGGAAAAGATTCTCCAAGGTCTGATTCTGTGACCAGTCAGATGCTTTTAGAGAGCAATTTAAATAACTGTGCTTTGGAAAAATGGAGAGGTTGCTTAGTACACTGCCATGAATATGTTTATGAAGAAAAAGATCTGATATGTAGACTCTTTTTTTGGTACCAGGGATTGAACTCAGGGCCTTGTGCTTGCGAGACAGGCAGCAGCACCACTAAGCTAAATCCCTGTCCCTTAAATTCATATTTTTATGCTACTTCTTTTGACATTTTAGAATAGTCCTATACAGTTAAGAGTCTACAGAGGCTGGGGATTTAGCTCAGTGGTGCCGCTGCCTGCCTCGCAAGCACAAGGTCCTGAGTTCAATCCCTGGTACCAAAAATAAAATGAATTTAAGAGAAGTAAAAAAGATGATTGAATCATATGTATGTAAAATATAGATTTGCTTATTTCTAAAGAAAACAATTTTCCAAATATTTTAAAAAGAAAAAATAGCTTATATTCCTATATTTTAAAATGGGGTAAGAAGTGTGAGTGCATGTGTGTGTGTGTGTGTGTGTGTGTGTGTGTCTGTGTGTCTGTGTGTGTCTGGGTATTGGAATGGGGACAGCCAACTCATTTATCCAGCTATGTTGCTAGGCAACACAGGAGGAAAAAATAGAAATAGCTACTGTTTTCTAATTTGCAATAAAAAAGAGTTAATTTATTCTTTGAAGTGCCTTCTTTTAGCACATGCCATCTTTTACTTATTTCAGTATTTCCTGCATAGGAATATTGCCAAACATTTGAGAAGAATATTAACCAAATTTGAAATAGGATCATTTTTTAGGGATATCCTAGGCCAAATTTAACTAGGAGGGGTTATTTGACGTTGTTGTCTAAACACCAAGATGAAAGCCCCTGCCACTAACACACCCAGGAAAGCCTCCATGCACTGACATGGTACAGAAATAGAGGATGTTTATAAACTCAAAGGCTTGAAAACAGAATCATCTTTGAATATATGCAGCTAAATTCAAAATCTTGGAAACTAAATGATCTTTGAATATATCCAGTGTCCTGCTTCCAAGATATGCTTAATAAATGTTTTTCCATGGTGATAAACCCTTTGTCTCCCAAAACAAATGAGATACTCTCTGCCCCCTTTAAGTACTGTGCTTGCATTGGTAGGATAAGTGGCAAAATGAAGAGTCTGTCAGAAAACCATACCTCATGGTCATTTCCTAAGTGCTAAAAGTATTAATTATGTAAGCCAATGACTACATAGCTGGATGGAAATTTTCTGCCTCAGTTGGACAAAATCCAAGTGAGTCAGAGAAAACAAAGGGAAATGATGAAAATTTTTACCTCATTCTGCCAACAAGGACACCTGAGCACAGCTTTACACCTCCAAGGATAGAGGGTCTCCATGATAAACACAGTGGGATAGAAGCTGGGCTCAATCTGTAGCAAGGATTCTCAAGCATTCTTAATTTAATCTCAACAACGAAATCCGAGGTACACCTATAAATCCAGATTGGATCAAAGGATAAAGAGGGATTTCTATGCTAGGGATAGTCTCCAAAGTGTACACTTCAAGAAAGAGAATGTTCTCTGAAAGACAGTCCTTCCTATGCTGCATCTGAGGGCTGTCCCTGTAGATGGGAGCCTTTCAGTGTAACATTTAAGAGAAAAGAATGCTCACACTAGCTCCTCCTCCACTCAAGGATAGGCTATTAGGAGATTAAACAAATGTGGCAACAATTCTTTGCATAGTTCAATGATTCTTGGACTTTAAAATGCTAAATTAGACTAAGAAGACCTTAGAAAAAACACTCGAGTGGAATTGGAATCGGATTATTTGGGTTTTCTATCTAGAAAGAGACTGTTTTGTTCTTTCAACTGAGACACAGAAAGGATGGTAGGCTTATTTAAGATAACCCAAACCTTTAGTGGACAATCTGGTGCCAAGTCCCAGGCTTCATCAAACACTTCAAACAAGCTCAACCTGATGCGAGGCAAATCAATGAAGACAATGAAACCTGATATTTAGTGTGACAGTCTCCCCAGTGCCCTCTACTTTGACATGGCTGATGGTTCTGGCAGCCTAAGGACCCAACCTGGTCAGGATATTTGAAGAGAAGGGGCTTCCATCTTGGTTGAAGCTTAAATTTATGGAACTTGGATGAGTCATTTTAAAACACATAATAAAAGAAACCAAATTCAAGAATTCAGTATTGGAGTGTAGTAGCTTCCAATGAGAGCTTGCTTATTAAAATGTTTATTGAGCACCATCATAAACTCTCCTAAAGGCACACATTCTGCCCACATCACTTCTGAAATCAGGACCATGAATGACCTTCCATTTCTGCCATTGTAGCTTCCCACCTCCCCTGTCCAATCCTTTTATTCTTGTTATGGTATTACTGGAATTAATGAAGAGTAGAGCAGTTTTTCCATCCTGAATAAAGGGCTAACCCTTCCTAAGTATGGAAAAGCTAATGTTTTTTCTAACATCTCTTCCACTTTGGTCTAAAGGCTCAGCCAATTTTTCTGTTATTACACTCCAAACAAATGCAATTAGTGATGAAAGAGAATGTGCTCAATGTGGGCTTCATTCACAAAACCACATATCCTCCGTATGTACCCCTCTCCTGCTCCAAAGGCTCTCTGCTGCTAAATCCTCCCTCCTTTAACAGCACTTTCCCTTTTCCTTAAGGGGATAATGATCAATGATGATATCTAATAAAACTTGGTACAACTAAGGAAGCCTACAAACCAGAGCTAATAAAATCCGTCCATTCAAAGCAAAAAAGAGGATGGTATCTAAAAGTGAATCAGCCAGTGTATAGTCTTCTAAGAGTTAAGATTTGGAAAAATGGACAGAGAATTTAAAAGCCTAGAGTTGTGGCTAAACCACAGCAAGGATAAGTGATCCATTATTGGTCATTCCTTGGTTTAGTGATCACTAGAGGCAAGCAGCACAATTTGCTAGCTCTTGTGCACCAAGGCTCAGACAGATCTCAATAGGTAGCTTGCTTGTTTCCTTACCCTCTGCTTCCGCAGGCTTCCTGGGCTGGTGGGTGATGGGCTTGGAGACTTTCCCGAGCGTGGAGTGGAGAGCTGGCTACCAGGGGTTCCATTAACTAGAAACAAAAAGAATCACAAGAGAAAAATGACATGTTAAGGAATTTTCATGACAATTCATCTTTTCAGAGAAATAAACAGTGAGAGATGGCTATCTGCTAAAATGTAGACACCTATATATCTGTATCATGAAGAAAAGACTAGGGAGCAATCATCTTCAGAAATTCACTGATTTGTTAATTCTGTGTTTAATATAGCAGCAGGATATATAATACCTTAAAATGTATTTTATCCAACTTTCTAGATGAATTTGTTAATGATGACTTTATCTGTGTCACCAGAGATTTTTGGAGTGTAGTTAAGGTCCTGAGACATTTTTAACAGGTTTCCTCCAATTTTTCATTTTAGTTGCCCAGTCCTACCCAGTAGGAGAAAATATTAGTACAGTGCACAAATGATATTTGCAGTGACTTGATAAAACAGATCACTGTGATTTTATAATTAATAACTTATTTCTAGAAGCTCCTGTATCCATTTGTGTCCTGTCCATTCTCCAGCCTTATTTTGATGGACCTGCATCAAATAGTACAAAGTAACTGACCAAAGACAAAGTGAGGAATTCCTCACAGTTTGTCTTTGCTACCTTTGAAAATAAAAGCTGCTCTCTAACAGGTTCAAAGCACTGGAATTCTACCAGATTCTCAACTTTATGCACCATTATCTGAATCAAGATAAAGCCCAGAGAACTCATGCAAGCAGTTCTTTCCTCCGAGTACCTTCACCTCTAAGAACAAATAAAACCCTTATAAAACATGATTTTATAGAGACATATAAGGTTGATTGTATTTTACATATAGAAATGATTGCATTACAGTTCATAATGAGTGAAGTAGAATTAAACAGGAGACACATACATTCTGGAGGGTGCATAATAAGCAATCTCCACAGGGGAGAGTGACAGTGATTCCACTTACCTTCTATGAGTTCTAACATGGACCCAGTCTTAGTGTGTGACCTGACAATAGCAAGAAGCAAAATCTCTTCTCAGCACTAAGCCAAGCACCAGCAGAAATGGGAAGCAGTTGGATTAGTTACGGATGGCTAAGGCTGCTCCCAGAGCAGGCTGAATGAGATGCAGGATTCATCAGCAGATGCCTTTTCTGCGTAAGGCTGACGTCTTCCAAGCGGCAGTGGGAGGTGCGGGTTCTGTCTTAGGCTACATCAAAGGTGTCAATTAAGCCTCATGCCAACGCGGAGCCACTGCACCCGCCACCCAACAAACACTCACTCCGGAAGCTCCAGCCTTCTCAGTCCTTTGCACTGAATCATAACGAAGTGCCTCTGGGGGAAAGAGCCCCAGTGACTCATCTGAGAATCAAGATGCCTCTAAAGCCTGGCAGTACCACTTAATGAGGACACCCTTACACCATGCAGGAGATAGGTCCAATATTTATTGATTTTTCCCACACCATGTTTTCATAAAAACTTAATGGACCATGAAATTGGGAAGCTTCTTGTTTTGTTATCATGCCCAAAGACCTTAAAATGTCACATACCCCATGCTGCACTAATTTTTAGTTTTGCCTTTGAAATGTATTTGGTGACCTCGTCTTTAGAAAAGACTACAGTTCTGTGTGTATGTGGATGTGTGTGTGTGTTTTGTTTTTGCAGAGTGCAAAGAGAAGCTGAGAATATTTTAATTTGCTTGCATGCACACAGGACTGTATTTGTTGAATGAGTTTGATGTTCCAAATTTGTCAGGCTGGACTTCCCACCCAATGCCCTCTGAGGGGATAGCTCAGATAAAAAGGCTAGGATTATAGAACTGTGGCAGAGGCAGAATCTGTACCAAGTAATAAGAAAAGGAAGAGATGCCCTGCTGGGTGGCTGCAGAATGTTTTATGAATGTAATATTTTCTTTGCTCACTTGGATTCCACTTTATGTCTTTATGTCACACGCAAAGGCTATACAGATTGGGAAAGAATGAACAAATATTGAAGCAAAGTAAGTATTAACACTCTTTTACACTGGCTCTTTAAAATTTTGTTTGCTGTTGTGTTTCTGTGGTGCTGGGGCCCCGCCCCTATGAGACAAGTGCTCTAGCACTAGGCTACACTGAAGAGGCAAAAGCAAAGCAAAAGATTGTATTTACTAAGTACACTTTTTATGTGTATCTTTTTAAAAATTCTTTTACTGGTACATTTTAGGTATACAATATGTTTACGTTTATCATCGGGTGCTTGTACCTGTACATGATGTATCTTGGTTCTTATTTTTTCCCCATTACCTGTGCACCCTTCACCCCCTCCACTTTGCCCTATTTACATAGACTTCATTTCCATTTTTTTTCTTTTCTCATAATTTTTCCTTTCCTTTCTTCCCTTTCCTCTTCCCCTCCCACCAACCCTACACCTTTGGACCTTTTCCTATTTCAAATTATCAATTATTCATTTTAATAATTTTGATCCTTATTTACACTTTCAGTTTCTCACACTAGAGAAACTGTTCGGTATTTACACATGTGTATCCTATTTATTTCACTTAAGAGTATGGCCTCGATATGCATCCATTTAGCTATAAATGTCTCTAATTTCTCATTCTTTTGTTTTGTTTTGTTTTGTTTTTTTGGTACCAGGGATCGAACTCGGGTCTTTGCGCTTGCAGAGCAGGCGTCAAAACCACTGAGCTAAATTCCTGGCCCTAGTTTCTCATTCTTTATGGCTGAGTAGTAAGTACTCCATTTTATAAAAAAACCCACATCTTCTTTATCCAGTTTCCAGTTGATGGGCTCTTGGGCTGTTTCCAATATGTGTATCTCTATTTGTTGAGACTTATTTTATTTGTACCAATTTCTCTCTCATATATATATACACACACACACACACACACACACACACATATACATACACACACACATATTGCATATACGTACATATTCTATGAGGTAAAGAGTTATGTCCCCCATTTTACAGATAAGAAAACTGAGTCATAAAGATGATGAACAATTTGATAAGAAGAGGCCAAAATCTGACCTAATCTATCTAAAACTGACAGTCTTACTACTACTTTCCCTTGTTGCATCAGACTTCTAGCCTGCAGAGAAATCAGAAAACTAAACTAATCATTACAATGAAATGTTATGAGAGTGGAAGCCTTGAATGTTGCTACTGGAATTCTAATAACTACTAAGGTCAAGGTTGGCCTACACCCTACAGAGAGAACAATGGATAATAGAGTTAACTTTGGGAAGCTGGGAAGGGCACAATGAAGGAAAGGTGTTCCAAGCTCAGGGGACCACCTGTTTCAGAGTTGGGCATGGGAGAGGTGGTCAGTGTCCTACAGGAAAGAGACCTACATAAATTACTCATAGCAGCTATGTGGAATTGTGGGTGTGGTATGTGTGTGTGGAGTTATGAATGAGGATGGAGGAACAGGCAGAGGCTACAGGGTGTGCAGGCATTAGAATTCATGTTGAGTTTGGCTTTTGTCCAAAGGACAATGAGAATCTATTGAATGATTGTAAGTAGGAGTCTTGGGATCAGATTTGCATTTTAAAAAGCTCTCAAGAGCTCTTGCCTCATCAAGAACAGATTAGAGGGAACAATACAGGGTGGAAGGCTATCCTTATAAGGATATCAAGTAGAAAGAGTGGGACACATTCAGGGTCCTATGGCCAGTGAAGGTGATGTGGCTGGTCCAGGACAGTGCAGTGAGGATGGAGGTAAATGGAAATGTTCTGGAGATATTTCAGAGGTAGAAACTATAGAACTACAGGACTTGATAATAGATTGGTTACAGAATATTAAAGCTAAAGGGAGCATGTTTGGAAAGACAGTAAGTAGTGCGTTTGGACACACTGTACTGAAGCACTTTATATGACATTAATTCTGCAATGTAGGTGGGGGTAGTTTTTCCTGTTTTTGAGAAGGAAACAGAGGCTCAGAGAAGTAACTTCCTCAAAAACAAATAGCTGAAAGATAACAGGGCAAGAACTGGACCTCAGCTATGTCTTAATCAAAAAATTGCACTTTTCCCAGGTAAAGCTTGCCTGGGCACCTCAAATCACATCCAAACTCCCATCCTATCTGTGGAGCTGAAGGCATCTGGGTTTCCCTCTCCCCTGGGCCAGGCTCCCAGACACACTTCCTTTATTGAAAGCCACTGGGCTTAGTGCTTCCACTTGTACTGCCAACTCTCTGGACAAATGAAACTCAAGTGCCAAATAAGCCGTTTACAATCAAATTTTTTTTCTGTACTGGGAATTGAACTGAGGACCTTGCACTTGCCAGGCAGGCTTGGCACCACTGACCTAAATCCCTGGCCCACAATCAAATATTTTTGGACACAACCCATTTGGAAGTTGGGAATGACCTGTCTATCTTACTGTTGGGTCTGCTCTGACTCCTTCTAACCCCAAAGCATTAGCAATTTCTTAGGATAGTTCTTGACATTCAGAAATTATTACACACTTTAATGTTAAATTGTTACTGGAATAAATATTTTTTTCATAAGTCACTTTGACACAAGTACTGAGTTCACTTGTTTTATTCTGTAACAACAGAAGTCCCTGAGTGCCAATAAGAAGGGCTTTGTTATTAACTTATTAGTACTTGTTAAAATCCAACTTACAAATGCCATTATTTTCCAGAGGCCCTTATTAAACAATTCTTTATTTTGAATGGAAAAAATTCAATTTAATATGGTTTTGTTAAATAGACAACAATAGCATGCCTAGCAATTAATTCTTTCAATCTGAATTCACTAAACTCTGAATTTGTTAAGAATTCATCAGAAGCACTGCTTTATACTTATTTCTAGTTTCCTTTGCTCTGATCTTTCTGGGTCCATTTTTTTGTCAGTTCTGTCTTTTTTTACTCTGGTTGTTATCTCTTGGATGAGAAGTGCTAAAATTCAGGATGGATTATCCCCAGACACATGACTGTGAGGCTAATTTCTACCACTCCCAGTCCGTCCACGCTTCTTGTATTTGACTCAACTGTCATCTAAGCCTATGAGGGAATCAATCCAAGAGTACAAGGCAGTCCCTCCTTATCCATG